CTGTGACCTTCCCGTGGCCAGCAGTGCTGCTGCTCTAAAGAAAAGCAGGAAGCCCGGGGCCAGGGAGCCAGGAAGCCGCCAGCCCCGTGAGGGGCCAGCCACAGCCCCCGGCTGCCGGGGGGAGCCCAGCTGGGCGGCGTCGAATGGGTGCAGGGCAGTGGGGTTTGCCCACGAGGGCTGAGATGTGGGGTCCCCCCAGCACAGGCTCTGTGAGCCCAACACCTCCCCAGGGCCCTGCCGGTATAAGAGCAGGAGGCAATTGCACAGGGGAGGGGTGGGGGGTGTCTCCTCAGCCCATTCCCACCATGCCAGGGCCTGGCTGTTGCCCAGACAGGAGACAGGGCTCAGAGCAGCCGTCCCCAACATGCACCGAGGGGTTGGCACGCCCCAGGAGCCACAGCCCCCTGCTCAGACAGGCCTCTGCTTTTATAACATGGAACAATTTCTGATTTTATCAGAACCTCCTGAGGCCAGCCGGCCCACATCACCCTGCCAGCCTGCACCGGCTGGTGACAAGACACATTGCTGCTCCCAGCCCTGAGAGACCAGAGGTGCCACTGCCACGGCTCCCCCAGCTCCAGAGCCCACTCCAGGGCATCGGAGACCCCTTCCCAGCGGGTTCAGAGCACGGAATCCAAACCAAAACGCGTGCAGAACCAAGGAACAACAGCCCTGCCTGAACAGGCAGCCCCTGAGCCCCATCCAGCAGGCAGCAGACCTTCCCCTTGCCAGAGAGGCCGGCAGCGAGCTCCAACAGCGGAGCAGCCAGAACAACCGCCCCCGAGCTCCGGGGACACGTCCCGGCCCAGCCGCTCCTCATGCCCCAGCAGCAAGGAGAAGCACCGGATCCTCCCCACGCGTGGGAGAGGCAGAGGGACGTGGGCTACTTTTGGATGCCTGGGGTTGAGACTTCACGCACGGCCCAAGGAGAGAAAGAGGAGCAGAGAGGGGACGCTCGGGGCCCTGCTACCGGGCCAGAGCCTGACATCCTCCCAGGAAACACAAACTGGGAGCTGAGTCAGAGACCTGGAACATGCCAGTGGTTTGGCAAGAAATCACAGTGAGGAGCAGGCGCGCCGGCCGCTGCCGCACGTACACGTCTTGCCTGGGGCAGGAGACCCCCTCAATCTGACAGCGGCTGCAGTGGAGCCAACCCCAAGCCTCCAGGGCAGGGGGAAAAGTGAAGAAAAACACTCAAATGCAACCAATGGTTGTTTTTTTTACCCAAAAGACATCACAATAGCATCACACAGCATCTACCTGATCCTGCACGCGACCTCTCCGCCGCTCAGAAGCAGGGCTGGGAGATGCCAGCAGAGACCTGGGGAGGAGGCTGGGGCCCTGCCAGCAGGGAGAGAGGGGAGGCAGGATCCACCACCGAAGCCACCTAGCCCTCCACCGAAGTCCTTACCACGTACTCCATCGCCGGCGGAGGGCAGGGCAGGCCCCGGGCAGGGAACAGAAGCGCACAGCCCCTCTCGTCTGGCACTCCGACCTGCGGTTCGGGGACAAACAGGGAGTTAGCCAGCCCTGCCCCGGACCGCCGAGGCGGTGGCCCTGGCGCCAAGAGGCAGACCCTGCTCCTCCTTGCTGACCGCAGGCAGATGGGGCCATAGCAGCCGCACAACGTGCTGCCGATACACAGGGTGAGAGAGCCAGGGAAGCCTCCTGCTTCCCATCCAAGGATGGAGCTGGCATGTGCTGGGGCAGGAGCATGAGGACAAGCCTGGCTCTGCTCAGACCTTGCCCACATCAGCAAACGGTTGTCAGGGGCCAAGAGTCACTCCATGACCCAAGACATGTGTCAGAGCTGATCCCTGCCCAGCCCCAAAACCATCCCCAAGAGGCCACATGCAAGAGGGGAGAGGGCAAAGTTGCCCCCTCCTGCCACCCCCTTGGCTGACCCCCTGACATAGAAGGACAGGCAGAGCCCCCTCCTCCCCAGGGGAGCAGTGAATAAGGGAGTTGTGGAAAGAGGCTACTAGAGGGGAGTCAGGAGGGGCAGGAAGCTCTGCAAGGGGAAAACAAGGCAAGTGAAGCATGAGCAGCCCTTCCCACCCCCACTGCCCAGCCGATGCAGTCGGGGATGGGCCAGCCGAGCAGCATAAAGCAGCAAACACAATTTACTTCCTCGCAGCAATCATGCCCTTATCTGGGGCCTGCAAAGCCTGCGCCGGAGCCCAGGCAGGCGCTAACGTGATTAGCTCTGGAGGCAGTGAGATAAGGAAGGCCCCACTTGGCAAGAACAGCAGTGCAGATCGGCCCTGGGCAGGGCCTGGCAGCACAGTGCCAGGTCACTGCCGAGCAAAGGTAGCGACGAGGCCCTCTCAATGCCAGGGATCAAGGCTGGCGGCAGGGAACGAGGATCAGTACCCCAACTTGGGGCGTTTAGCCTTGCCAAAGCCTCCTTGGGAGCAAGTTGTGTCCCCTCTGAGTGGGGGGGAGATTGCCCTGCGCAGCTCCTGGGGGCAGAGGCGGCCCAGCCACAGTGCTCCCCACCACAGGGCTGTGGGTGGATCCTCAGGCCCTGCTCAGCTGGGAAGAGATGGTGTCTTCGACCCCTCTGGAACAGGACAAGGCCAGGGGAGCACTGCCGGGAGCTGCCCTTTGCCCGCAGGCTTCCGCAGCACCAACCCAGCAGGCCGGACCTGGGTCACATTTCCTTGGAACCTGCATCCAGAGTCTCCCCAGGCCAGCACAGCATGTTGGTGACCCCGTCTGAGATTCAAACGAGAAGCAGGGACAAGCCTGCAACGGACGGACACAACGCATGGCCGGGGGGGAAGGCAAAGACCTGCAAGGGGGAATATCTACCCCTGTCCGCAATAGCCGGGTCTGCTCTGGATCCTCACCTCCTGCCTTCCTCCAAAGCATCGAAGCACAGGCAGGGCTGAAAGCAGGGCAGCAGGAGGGCACACCCAGGTACTGTGGGGGCCAAAGATCCCTCCAAACGCAGCCGGTGACCCATCCCTGCGAGGGGTCACACCACCTGGGGGCAGACAGCGTCCCTCGAGCCGGCCTCCCTCCCGTGTACCGCACTGGCACACATCCCTGAGCGCCCGGGAAGGGGTGACGCGAGCTGGAGCCAATCAAACGGCCCTGGGCACGCACAGCGGCCGCCACACCGGCGCGGTCCCGAGCATCGGTCTCACCCCGAGACCTGGAAGCAACCGAGCGGCTGGCACAGCCCCAGGGGAGGGAACCGGGCCCGACCCGTCCCGCGGGCCCCAGACTCCCGCTCTCGGTTCCCCCGCGCTGGGCACGCAGAGGAAGCGGGGGAGGGCGGCCCGGACCCCGCAGCGCCGGAGGAGGCAGCGCCGTGCCCCG